TATTGCACCCATCCCTGCCACCCACCTCCCTCATGGCAACCACCAATTTGTTCTCTTTGTTTATGAGTCTGTTTCTGTTTTGCTTGTTTCTTTCATTATTTTTTTAGAGTCAATGTGAAAATGAGATCACTTTTCTGTCTTACTTCATGTAGCATAAAGCCCTTCAGGTCCATCTATGTTGTTGTAAATGGCAGGATTTCATTCTTTTTTATGGCTGAGTAACACTGCATTGTACATATTTACCACATATATATCCATTCATCTATTGATGGACACTTAGATTGCTTCCATATCTTGGCTTTTTTTTTTAGTGGTTATTGTAGTAAACCAAAAGCATTTAACTTTTCAGTTTACAAAGAACCAATATCATAACACTGCAAGTAGAATGAAGAAACTTTATCATAGCAGGGATCCTCCCCTCTTTGTTGTACTTTTCTTATGTATTGCACCAACATCAATTGAAAAGGTCATCCAAAATTTTATAATTTTCCTTTCTATCTGTTGAGCACATTTTAAAGTACTGAAGAAAAGTCTATTATATTTACTAAGGTATTTGCTATTTTTATTACTCTTCTTTATTCATGATATGCCAGGTTTCCTTTGGCTAAGAAAACTTCATTTAAGTGATTTTTTGTTTGTTTGTTTTAAAGAGTAAGTCTATTGGCAAGAAATTTTTTTAGTTTTCCTCTGAGAATGTCTTTATTTTACCTTCATTCTTGAAAGCTATTTTTCTGGTTTTTGAAATCCAGATTTGACATCCTTTTCTTAATATTTTAAAAACAATGTTCCATTCTCCCTGGCTGTGGTATTTCTGATATCTCCAGCCATTTCAGTTGTTGTCCCCTGTAAATAATGGGTCATTTCCCCTAGCTGTTCTAAAGATTTTTTTATTTGACTTTGGTTTTAACCAATGTGATTATGTTCTGTGTAGGCACTGACTTTTTTAGAGTTTTTTCTTTAGGGGTTGGTTAAGTTTCTTTACTCTGTAGGTCTCCATCTTTTACCAAATTTGGGGTGATTTGGGCCAGCATTTCTTCAAATACTATTTCCTGCACTGTACTCCTTTTCCTTTCCTTCTGTGACTTTGATATGAGTGGTAGACCACTTGGTATTATCCTATACAACCTTGAAACTGTTCGTTGTTTTCCCCCAGTCTTTTTTTTTTCTCTGTATCATTTCAATTTATCTATTATCTATAGACACTGAAATTTGAACTTCATATAATTTTCGTGTGTAATGAATTCTTTTTTTTTAGCCACTCTTACAGCATGGGCCAAAGGCAGGCAATGGGTCAGTCTGACCCACAGGCTTAGCTTATGAATCTGATTTAGTCCCATCAATGATGGAGTTGATTAGAAGGTAGGTTTTAATACCATCCATTTCCAGGTTGTCTTTTCTACCACAGTGTGGTATCTTTGAGGTCCTTATGAAAAATATGAGTATTTTATCAGGGCCTCTTCTCCTTGGCAGGCCCTGGACTCTAATTTTTATGCCTACTGGCTGCTGTTCTCACAATCAGCATATACATTTAAGGTAAAAATAGCCCCAAAGGCCTTGACTTGGTTTCTTTTCTTAACCTAAAGTTAACCTCTCAGTTCTTAACTATTTCAGTAACTCTAGGCCTCTTGAAAAGAAGTTTGGGATTTTGTTTTTGTTTTTATATTTCATCTAACTTTCAGTTGCTTGCAGTGGGAGAGTTGTTCTGATCCATCTATTTTACCATTGTTTGAAGTGGATGCACTTACAATGAATCAGTTTTACACCTTTAATGTAGTATCTCTGCTGCTTACCAGACTACATTCTTTAAAGAATATCTTTTGATAATATAGGTAGAGGTGATATTACACCCAAAAGTTCTACTTGAATGGGAAGTAGTATTTTGTAAATACTTGCTTTTTAAATTTTTACATTAAAAAAATCAGCTTTATGGAAAGAGCTTACATACAACAGAAGGCACAGGATTTAAATGTATAGTTCAGTGAAATACCAAGAAATTGATCATTTTTCACAAATACCCCCTCCACCAAAGTTCCTTTTTTCTCCTTTGCAGTCAATCTTGCCCATCCCCTGATGTAGGCAATTACTGCTCTGATTTGCAGTATTGTAGATTAATTGTTCATTTCCAGAAATGTATATAAATAGACTCAATATGTATGCATGCATGTATTTAAAGTATATCTGCCTTTATTAGCTTGGCAAAATGTTTTGCAAATGCTCTGTTGTTGAATGTATCTGTAGTAAATTCCTGTTTATTGCTAAGTAGTAATTGTTTTACTATACCAAAATTTATCAGTTCTTTTTTTGATAGACATTCGATTGTTTCTGGCCTTTGGTTATTCTAAATAGAGCTGCGTCAAACATTTTATTTATAAATCCTTTTGTGCATATTTCACTTCTCTCCAATTAAGCCTAAGATTCATGAAGTAGGTATATGTTTAACTTTATAGACACTGCCAAATTGTCTTACAATATTATTGTACCATTTTACATCCTCACCTGCAATGTGTAGGGACTCCAGTTGCTCCTTGCAGGCTCTCAGTATTGTTAATAGTATTAAGTTTAGTATTCTAATGGGTGTGAAGTGGCATCTTACTATAATTTGTATTTGTATTTCACTGATGACTAATGATGTCAAGTGTCTTTTGATATGCTTATTGTCTATTTGTCTTTTTTCCTGGTAAATTTTTTTATAAGGATTTTCAAAATTCTGTTAAGTTTTTAAAAGATTTGTAAAAATCTTCTCCCATTCAGTAGGTTACCTTTTTGTTTTGTTGATATTGTCCTTTGCTATGTAAAAACTTTGTAGTTTATAGTCCCACCTTTTTTTCCCACTTTTGTTTCCTTTGCCTGGGGTGACATATCCAGATATAATTGCTGAAGATGATTTCAAGAGTTCACTGCCTATGTTTTCATTTAGGAGATTAATTGACCATATAAACATGGGTTTATTTCTGGGCTCTTTATTCTGTTCCATTGATCTTTTATCTGTTTTTGTACTAGCACTATACTTCTTTGATTACTATAGCTTTGTAGGATAGTTTTAAATAAGGTAGTGTTGGTACCTTTAGCTTTGTCCTTCTTCTCAAAGTTGCTTTGGCTATTTGGGTTCTGTGGGTCCATACAAAGTTTAGGATTATTTGTTTTAGTTCTGTTGAAAAATATCATTGGTATTTTGATAGGGATTGCACTGTAGATTGCTTTGGGTAATATGGATATTTAAACATATTTTTCTGATTCATGAACATAGTATATCTTTCCATTTATTTGTGCCCTCTTCAATTTCTTTCATCAGTGGTTTATAATTTTCAGAGTATGGGTGTTTCACCTCTTGGGTTAAATTTATTCCTAGATGTTTTATTATTCTTGATGCAATTGTAAATGGGGTTGTTTTCCTAATTTCTCTTTCTGCTAGTTCACTATATATAGAAATGCAACATATGATTTTGTATTCTGCAACTGTACAGAATTCATTTATTAGATCTAACAGTTTTTTGGTGCAGTCTTTAGGGTTTTCCATATATAGTATCATGTCATCTGCACATACTGGAAGTTTAACTTCTTCCTTACACATTTGCATGTTTCTAGGAATTTATCCATTTCTTCTCAGTTGTCCAATTTGTGACATATAATTTTTGTATTCTCATAATCTTTTGTATTTCCTTGGTTATAACTTCTCTTTCATTTCTGGTATTACTCATGAGTCCTCCATTTTTCTTGATGATTCTAGTAAAGGTTTTCAGTGTTTTTCTTTTCAGAGAACCAGCTCTTAGTATCACTGATCTTTTTTTTTTTTTTTTGGCCTTTATTTCCACTCTTATCCTTATTTTCCTTCTACTAATGATAGGCTTTTTATTGTTCTTTTTCTAATTGTATTTGGTGTAAGTTTATAAACTATTGTTATTTTAAAAATCAATGTTGTTCTTTTTGTTGACCTGTCAGAATGGTGGTTGGGTTTTTGTCCCATGTTGTTTTAGAAGGTAAATTACTTCAAATGAATGTCTAGGACCTTTTTAAACCATATTTAGGGTGGATTTTTACTTTATAGGATTTTTACTTTATAGGATTCCTGTTTATACTTGTTACAATTCATTCTATAGATCATAATACTATTTCATTCTGTGTAATGGGGGAATACTATATTTAAACATTAATAAAAATGAATATTGGATAAAATTTATCCAGGATCTTCTTGTTCTCCAGTCCCCCAATTTTCCTTACCTACTTTCCTTCCTTTCTTTTCTCCTTCCTTGCTTCTTTCCCTTTTCCTTATTTTTAACAAAAAAATCCACATGCCCTTCTAACATTATAGCATTGTATGGTTTCATAGCTGAGATTTTTGGGTGGTAAAATATTCCATAAGTAGTAATTAGTTCTTGAGATCATATAATGGAATGCTCTTTTATAAGGACATGTTTGTGGCACTGGTCTATGTACCCTAGTGATATGGTAATTGATACTTGCTGCTTTATTATACTGCAGGAAATTACTTGGGAAAGATATGGCACAACATGCAGTGTCATAGACAGCTCTAGTTCAGTGTCATAGACAGCTGTAACATTTTTTGTATGTGAAAACTAACTCAGTGTGTGGTTTGAGTAGAGAAATAAGTCTCTTTGATCAAGTTAGAGTTGGAAATTTCACATTGTAAAATGAAATTCCTTCATGTGCTTATGATGCAATTTTGGAATGACAAATAAAAAAATGTAGTCTAAGCTTTGTGGAAGGAGGAAAGTGCATTCCATTTTCTAGTTACAGGGGTGCTATCATTTTGAAGGTTGTAATTTGTGATAAAAGTTTGCTACAATGTATATTTAAAAGTCCTACTGTGCAGTAGCATTTCTTAAATCTGTTTTATAACCTCTTGAGATTACAACTTCTTAGTGTGCTGTTGATTGAATGGTCTAAATGAAATAATCCCTTTAGTCGATTTTCCACTGCCTCAAATGCACATTAAAGGAAATATACTCTTCCTTGGCCTAAAAGCTTTTTTTTACCCATAGGATAAGAAATGGATTCTCAATCATGAAGATGTCACATTGGGAGAATTACTGGGCAAGGTATGTAATCACCTGAATTAAGAAGCCAAATGTCTTTATAGTGATTGTGAACTCTGCAATTTTATTTTCTTCATTGCTTTTCTTATATTCCAGCACACAGTAAGGCAGTTTCTCACATTAACCTAGAAGAGCACAATACTACATCTGTTATAAATAATGTGGTGTTCACTGAAGTAGATGTGTGGAAATCTTTGAAAAGTTAAAGGATGGCTCTTGATATTTCAAAATAGTTATATGTTTTCTTCTGGAAGGACTAAAAACCATAATGCTTTTATTACAGTATAGTAAAGCCACAACTTACGAGTTCAGATTTGAAAAGAAACTGTGAGATAATAAAAGTCGAAGCACCCAGATAGTCTTGTGCTATTTGTTTATGGTTATACATGATAGTTCAGAAAAAGTGAAATAATGCTCTTTGGAATTTCAGTATTTTTTTATATAGAATCACCATAGATAACAATATTTGACAGATTATTTCAGTCTAAAAGTAAAGTGGAGAAGACATTTCAATAAAATATTCACTTTGTAGCTAGCTGTTTTAGTGGTCAGAGAGGGCAGCTACATATTTCAAAGTTTCTTTTTTTCAGTAAAGTTAGAAATTTCTCATAGGTCCTATGAAAGTATATTATGACTAACAATAATGACAGATGTTTGATAATTATTCATCAAATAAACTTTTTTGCAGATTTATTGTTTATTTATATTTGAGTTTCAATGGGTGAATATTAACTGCATTGTCAATGACTTAATTAGTGATATTTCCATTTGAAAGTTTGCATTGAGTTTAGGTTCATAATACAATGTGAAAAATAGTATAAAATTCAGGTATTTAGGGAAAACTATCACTCATTCATTTCTGAGTCATCAGCACTAGACTGAAGGCTAGCATTACTAAAGAAATGATTACTATTTTATTCAAATGTAAAATTGAATTGACAAATATGAAATGATTTTTACATTCAAATGTAAAAATGAATTAACAGATATTTTCCCTTTTTAGCTTTGATGTATGTTAAGAAAGTAAATCTCTATTGATCTACTTTGTACGATTCTTATTTTAAAATATCTTTCCCAAATGGAAGCATTAAATTACTGTTGGAAAGCAGTTTCTATTGACTGCTAATGCTTAGCTTGAGAGTCTTTAGAATTTTCTTAAAAGCAGTAGCTGATGTGTTTATTTCCTCTGTGATGTGCTCATAATTCTTAAGGAAATATTCCTTCTTTCCAGTACTTCAGGTAGTACTCAGTAGCAGTGGTTGGGCTAAAAATTATTACATGAAATTAAATAAATCTCCATGAAAGTACAATGAAGTAAATTGTAAAATCAAGCCACTTAGTGAAATAGAATGTGTTGAAGGACAGATCTTTCAGTACTAAGCAAAAAAATTTTTCAGTTAAAAGAGAAATATTTTAATTATTTTTTATGTTCAATATATGAGGTATGATAATCAGGAGGACTATATCAGGAGCTTTTATTTTGTTAGTAAGGCTGTACTTCAAAGAATAATGTTTTCTCAATGACAAGGCAGTAGCATAATGTCAATTTCACTAAATTTAATCATTTAATAAAAGACTTCAATTTACAGTTAGCTTAATTTCAGCTAATATTTAAGTAGAAAATGATTTATCACTTAATGTTTCCACTACTCTGAATATTTACAGTATACTGCTTGAGAGTGCATAAGTAAAAGAGAATTAGCCAATGTTCCTAATTCAGGCACTTAATGGTATTTGGAATTTAGTAACAGTATCAGGTTGATATAGACCTTTTTAATTCAGCAATAGATTCTTAGACTGTACTTGATATACAGTTGGTATTCAATACATATTCTCTCCTCAAGTATTTGTTGAATGCCTACTTTGTGCCAGGCGCTTTTTTAGGCACTTGGGATATGTCAGTGAACAAAGCAGAAAAATGTCCTTAACCTTATGGAGCTTATGTTCTAGCTGGAAGGGGAAGACAGATAAACAATAAGAATAATAAATAGGTAAATTTTGTAAAATTAGAGGGTGCTAAGACCTGTGAAAAATATAGTGAGTTTGAGAGTACAATATAGTGAAGTCAGAGTTGCAATTTTTAATGAGGAAATCTGGGTAAGCCTCATTAAGTTGTTACTTACCAATAAAAACTTGGAGAAGAGGCATTTAGGCACACTGACATTTTAGGAAGAGGGTCCTAGGAGGAAGGAATAATTAATGTAAATTTTATTTGAAGAGCAAGGGGGAGACAGTTTGGCTGTAACTGAGCAAGCAAGAAGGAATGTGGTAAGATAAGAAGTCAGTGAGGTGGTCAGGATACAGATCATATAGGGTCTTGCAGACCATTGTAATTACTCTGACTTTGATTATGTATGAAAAGGTGAGCTGATGGATGGATTTGGCATGATCTTTTTAAAAAGCGCCCTCTGGCTGTTGTTTTGAGAATAGGCAAATAAATTGGAAGATGAGGAAGCATCTACGCTTATCTAACAAAAAGATGAGAGTTGTTGGATCAGGGTGTTGCAGTGGAGATTGTGAGAAGTAGCCATTTCTGGATACATTTTTAAGGTTGAACCAACTAAATAGCATGATGAAGACTTATGTGGGGCATGAGAAAAAAAGGAGAGTCAACATAGGTGCAGCAGGTTTTGAGGAACAAGATTAGGAATTGTTTTGGATGTATTGAGTTCTCTTTTAGATTTCCAAGTGGAGATGTTGGGAAGACAATTGAATATCAAGTCTGGAGTTTTTAGAAAAGTGGTTTGGATCGAAAGTACTAATTTATATTGTAACATGCGTATTTGGTAGTTGTGTATAGATGGCATTTTAAGTTTTAAAAATGGAAACATTTGACATAAATTTAAGGTATATAACATGTTAATTTAATATATTCATATATATAGTAATATGATTGACATTGTAGTGATAATTAACACCTCTATCATGTTACATAATTGTTTTGTCTTTTTAGTGGTCGGAATAATTAAGTTCTAGTCTTTTAGAAAGTTTGCTGATTATAATACAATACTTTTTGTCTATATTCACTATACTGTGCATTAGATCTCTAATGTTTATTTAATACTCATAAGTTTGTGCCCTTGTGTTCTGTTGCCCCCAGTGCCTGGGTAACCACCATTTTGCACTCTATTTTTATAAGTTTGGGGCTTTTTAGATTCCACATATAAGTGATATCACAAAGTATTTTTCTCTTCCTGATTTGTCTCATGTAGCATAATGTGGTCAGGGTCTGTTCATGTTGTCACAAATTGCAGGATGTTCTTTCTCATGGCTGAATAATATTCTATTGTGTATGTATGTATATACACACATACACACACATACATACATATATATATATATATGTGCCACATACAGATGGTATTTAAAGCCATAAGACTAGATAAGCTCAACAATAGAGTGAGTCTAGATAAAAGAGAAGAAAAATTCAAAGACTGGGCCCTCTTCACTCCAACAGAAGAAAAAATGGAGAGAAGAGAAGCAGTCATCAAAGGAGGCTGAGAAAGAGCAATAAATTAGAAGACGGAAAACCAGGAGATATGATGCCTTGGAAGCCAAAAGAAGAGGTCTACTAAGGAGGATAGAGTGATCAGTAGTGTGAAGTGATGGAAAGAGGTCAAAGATAATGATGACCAAGAATTAACCATTGAATTTCACAGTGAGGTCACTGGTGACTTGGCTGAGGAGTTTTCATGAAGTGCTTTGGGTGAAAACCAGATTGAAATAGACTTAAGAGAGAATGGAAGGAAAGGAATTAGAGATGGCAAAGACGTGACTCTGAAGTTTTGCTGCAAAGGGAAGTGCAGAGACATGTGGTGGTAGTTTAAAGGGAATGAGTTATGTGCTGCTATTGTTTAACCTGAGAGAAATAATAACGTGGGTTTGCAGTTAAGAATGATATAGTGAAAAATTCATGATTTTGGAGGAAGAGATGAGAATTGCTGGAGTAACATCACTAAGTAGGTAAAAAGGGCACAGGACTTAGTCCACAATGGAGGATTGACTTTAATAGAAACACATCATTCATTTTTATAACAGCAAGAAAAATTGCAGGTGTGTAAATGTGGGGCTGAGAGTCTTGAAGTTCACTTCAGATTGTTTGCATTTTCTCATTGAAGCAGGTAGCAAGATTATCAGCTAAGAATGAGGATGTGGAGATGGTGTGAGGGATTTGAGAAGAGAGTAGAAGGGAAAACAGTTAATTAGAAGAATGAGAGTATAAATGGTCTAGAGATCTGTAATATGATTACTGGGCAGCATTAAGGGTCCACTAGAAGACTGTGTTCATGAATTTAAAGTGAAACTAGTCAAAAATGGCTATGGATTTTCCCCAGCCATGTTTAGCTGCATAGGTACAGAGTAGGCAATATTGCATTTAATTAGGGTTGTGGATTTGACAAGGTAGTTGTACAGATTAAGAGAAACAAACAGGTTGAGAATGTATGATAAGCAATTGTACTTAATAACTCTGGAATTTAAGGTGGATAATGAAGGAAGGAGGATATTAAGGGGGTGATGGACAATAAAAATTAATAGTATCTAAAGATTTGGAGAATCCTATAGGGTCATGGAATTTTTTTTGGAATCTGGATACTAAAGGAAGTAAGCTACAAAAATAGAAGCCAACCAGAAGATGATATAAATGAAATAGACATCAAAAAGGAGTTGAATTATTGGCACTGACAAAGTTTATGATCCTAGAAAACAGGTTGTAGCACAAAATCATTAGAAGGGAGATGTTTAGAAACAGAGAGTTTGAAGTGTTGGAAGTATCTTTAAATGCATATTGAAATTGTCAAGAATTAAGATAGGAGTAACCCTGGTTACAGTGATCCAAGAGCTCAAATTGTCAATAAATGAGGGAAAATATTTTCAAATTCAATAGCTGATAGCTATGATAAAAGATAATGGGTATATAATTGAGTGATAAGGTTTCAAAGCCTGGATTTTTTTTCTTTATTAAGGAATGCAGGAGGGAAAATGGTTTGAAAACAGTGACAAGAAGCTAGTAGAATACTTTATTCCATCTCCAAGACAGTAGGAAAGGAGAGGGTAGGGGTGATAGGGAAGTTATCACTTAAGTTCAGAAGGTAAATAGAAGCTCAGCCAGCATTTGAGTGTTCTCAAGTGAGATCCAAGTTTCTATTAGAACAAAAGGAATTGAATGACCAAAAAAAAGAGTTGTGATGATGATAGACCACAAATTCCAGAAGGCACAATGAAAGTTGGAGATAGAAGGAAAATAGTTGGAGATAGAGGGTTGAATAGGAAGTACGGTCTATAATGAGGATTAGCAAAAATAAAATGAAGATTAACCTAGGACCAAGATTTTATGAGAACTGACATAAATAAACAAAGCACATGAGATTTAGCCTCATAATTTTAAGGCCAGTAACAAAGGCGAGTTGTACCTGTTGAATGATAAGGTGTGATGGGTGTCCTGGGCTTCCTCCTGATTCTTTGGGTGGAGAACAGGTGGTCTGGGAAGCATAGTCTTTTTCTCAGTGTTCAGAGATTCCACCCTTGACTACGGTTGATAGAGTTGAATTCCTCCTAGTAATGATTGTGAAATGAATGTTAAAATTTGCAAATACTTGATATATGCCAATATTTGTCATATGGGGCATATTCATTGTACCATTAGAAAGGTACAAAAGGGCAATGGTATGATAAGTATTTGGGAATGATAGACGTAATTTGTGGAAGATCAAGAAAATCTTCATGAAGGAGGTGTCATAAGACATGGCTTAAAAATTAGTTGGCATTTTCCCTGATAGGAGGTTGGGGGTAGGGGTTCCGCAGAGGAAGAGAATGTAGAAAGTCATGGCATGTATTTGGGATCACTAAGTATTTGAATTTAGAATACATGTAACAGTTGTGAACTAGAATGTGGAGCTAGACAGAGTCTCAGAAAGTGATGGTAGTTGTAGGATGGATATTGAATAAGGTAGTAATGTAATCAAAGTTGTCCCTTGGAAAGATTAATCTGGCAGTGCTGTAATGGATGGATTGGAAGGGGAGGGACTGATGATGAGTTTAGATGAGAGAATTGAGATCTTGAATTAGGGTAGCCTTTCTGAGATGCAAGCAGGAAGACAAAAGTAGTACAGAGATTCGTGCAAAGAGTATGCTGGCCCTGTAAATAAAAAAGGTAATTTAGCCCATAATAACATGTTAACTTTTAGACATTGGATTGTAAGTGCTTCACAATCATTCCGATAGAAGCCCAGTAATAATCGTGTACATTAATGTCTTCTCTTGGCTCTATCTCTGATGTAAAAAAAATGATTGCTATTTGGGGGTGGGGGGAATCCTTGAGGATGACACACAGGGATGTAAGATCAGATTTTCCCTTTTCTAATTTATGATGAATGTATAGTATGTTGAGAATTCATCCTTTGTGAAGAAATATTTACTTTTTGTGTGAAAGGATGATCAGTCATTATTATTTAATAAATATTTGAGTTAAATATTAGATTTAAATATACTTAAAATAAGTAAAATTAAAAATGGAAAATTAAGTAAAATATTAACAATTAAAATTTTAACAATTTTAAATTATTAATAATACATAAAACTTACATACTTTGAACTATTTGCTTAAGAGTTACATTGATTTTAGAACTCTAATGCTCAATAACTAGCAGACTCCTAGTTCAGTTATTTCTTGCTCAACAATAACATTGAAGCTTATTATAATGCTTACATGTTATGATTATAGCTGTATAAAAAATATATGTGCATATATAGAAAGACTTGAGAACTAAAAAAATAACTTTTGTGTTAGCCTTATAGAACTTCTCTGTAATACTTTGTTTTTTAATGTAATAAAAGGAAAATGAGTTCAAACTGGAAATAAGGCATTTTAAGTCAAAATATGTCCCAACCATAGAATAAGGTTAGGAGTTCATACATTTGATAGAAATTAGTTCAACCCAATGTGGCTGACACTGGCATCTGTGTAAGCACGTCCTTTCAGAGGTTGACGACCTGTAGTGGTGGCTCTTGCCCGTCTTCATCTGCCTTGATTCTATTGCTTCCCCCGATTCTCTTGCCCTCACACTCTCCTCCAACTGACATATGTTACCTCACAGAATCTTTGCTTTATCTTTAAACATTAGTGGATACTTTTTAGAATAAAGTTTAGAGTTTACAGATAAAGAGAACTAGGTGGAAAGAAACTTAATGTATTTCTGATTCCATCAATTTGAGTGTCTCCTTTTATTTTGTTCTTGCAACTTTTTCCCCATTTTCCTTTTCAGTTCACCTCAAGTGTCAATCCCCTAAGTAGTTGTTGTGCTGGGTAGTATATTTAAATTTTAAGGGTTAGTAAGAGTAACATTTCCAGTCTTAATTTCCACTTAAAACTCTGAATAAAGCTAACAGAGGACTTTAATTCAAAACACATCATTACATTCTTTCCTTTATTTTATAAAGATTTTTGTGGCTGTCTTACACCCCAAACAATAAATGTATTTGTACTTTCAGGGAAATTTTGGTGAAGTATATAAAGGCATATTAAAGGATAAAACTGCTGTTGCTGTTAAAACATGTAAAGAAGATCTTCCTCAAGAGCTGAAAATAAAATTTTTACAAGAAGCCAAGTGAGTTCTCTAAAGTAACATAAAACATGTATTTTTAATATAAGTGATTCATTACAATATAAGTTTGGAGATATCTTATGTTTTGCTTAAGTATCAGTAAGCACTTATAGAATGTAGAAACAAAAAGTTTCTATGTTTTTGAGTTGGACAATAGATCAATTAAGCAATCAGTCAAAAAATGAGAAGTTAGAAACAGTAAGTTAGTATTCTTCAAGTCCTTAAAAATATTGCAGTAGTTTTTATCACATGCATATACATATATGTATATATGCCATGTTGTGATGGCCTTTATGATAAAACATTATTGTCTCTATAAATGTATAATTACATATCTATATCTAGATATATATAGTTATATTTATCCTACCCTCCTTAGACATTATCTCTTGATTCTCTTTTCCCAGATGTTAGCTTTCTTTTCTGAGAACCTCAAGTCTCTTCTTCAACTCAGTGTCCGGCATTTGTTTCAAAATTTGCATGTTTCTTTTATAATCTGTCTTCTAGGATGATTATCTTCTCCTTTTTCTGTTGCTAGCTAAATTTTTAATGTTCTGTTTTGCTACCCCTGTATTGCAGATAGCTAAAACTATTCTGTTAGAGTTAAAATCTAGTATATACAACAAAACATAAACTGAATGGACAGGAGCTTTGGAAAAAGTAAGGATGGATTCTCTTGAGACTGAGATGGATGGATTGAGATGGGAGAAAAGGAGAATGCATGGGTTCATACATGAGTGGTGTAAAGGGAGGGAAAGCAAGGGGTTGGGAAGAGGGGTTCTCCATCATGGCAAAGTGTATAAAACTGAGGTTTCTGTAAAGTGCCATGGAGAACAGAGGACACAGCGATGAGAACTAAGCATTTTGATGTACATTTCTCTGTTCATCATCTAAAAAGGAATATTGATAGCAATGAATTAAATCAGTTTGCTGCATATATTAAAAATTTTCTATAGAATAAAGTTGTAAATGTTTTTCATGTACATTGTTGGAAAAATTATTGTATGATAAATTTAAAGGCATGGTGCCAGTTTTTAAAAATTCATCAGCTCATGTTGTTCATAGGTATTCTTAAGGTACAAAGTTATATTAAAGTTATTTTTAGAATATTTTTTTGCTTTCTAATTTGTGATTGCTTTATTGCAAAGTAGTTAATTGTCTCTTACAAAATGAGATTATGAAGTTTTATGTTAAAAGTGAAAATTATATACATGTAAACTCCCAATGTTCTTTAATAGATTATAAAGGTTTATATTTAGATATTGAATACTATTATAATTCTTGCTGGCAGTTCTGTAGAATTTCTTTACTAAGCCGTTTCCAACCTAAGTAATGACATTTTGGATTAAGTCAAACACTCTAAAACTTGCTTTTTAATTCTTTATATAAGTTGCAAGCTCCCAGTATTGACAGAAATTTCCCTTATCTCTCAAATTCTTCCCAGTTTATCTTGTCTTTTTTAAATCATGCATTTTCAATCTAAACCTTCTTTCTTAGCTATCTCTGCTTTAGTTGTACATATGCAAACACACCTAAACTGTTTTATCTTCATACACGTAAAGTTATATTTTAATTCTTGTAGAAAAGAAAACAATGTTTTTTCAAATATGAGTGAATTTATAACTATCAAGATAATAGGGAATAAAATGTGGTAATCGAAATCATCAGGGTGGACAGGCCTCTGAGGGTATCTAATGCATTTTAAATTCATGCTTGGAATCCTGTCGAGTCTGTACTACATATACACCTCTGATGACATTTTGTTTTTATCAAAACTAAGTCTCTGCTTCAGCTTAAGTCTGCATTGAAATGCTGTTACTCAGTTACTGTTTGACCTTTTGCCAGCTTTCTCAAAACTTGAGCTTTTACTGTTTGGAGATTGGTCATGACCACCAAGAATGTATTTATTATGCAACCTAATGATGTAGAATTTACCAATATAAATTGGATTCTTATTTTTATATATTTTAAATCAAGTGTATACATAAAACAAAAAGATGCCACTCTAGCAGCTTACAGATTTTGGTCCACTGATACTTTTCATCTTTGCTTTTGTGGTGATAGTTAAAACCAGATACTTCTACATGTTTTGGACTAAAGAAATTATTTCTACTAGCAATCATAGTGAATAATAACTTTTAATTGAATATTTAATTGAATTGAGAACTGACTTATTGAATTATATTTTGCCAATATTTATCAAAACTTACATATATCCCATTTATCATAATTTGGGCTCATACTGAAATTTTAAAACTTAAATTATCTTGACAAATGTATTCTACTTGTGCACAATATTCATGTCCATAAATTAAAGCATTATTAATGATAACTATTCTTACAATTTCTGTCATCCAGGATTCTCAAGCAATATGATCATCCCAATATTGTCAAACTTATAGGAGTTTGCACACAAAGACAGCCTATATACATCATTATGGAACTGATTCCAGGTAAGATTTGATGACATTTTAATGTAATGTTTTATTATTTTTATACATTTAGTCTCTTCGATTTCTCCTTGTAAGTTTCTAAGGATTTTGTTTGACATTTCCTAATGACAAAGAGCTTGCCCACATATGTGATATTTTTATAGTCTATAATACTGTGCTATTTTCTAGAAAATGTCAGCCAGTCCATATTTTTTTTTGGAGAAAATATATTCTTACAGTGCAATGCACATGGAATTTAGTGATATATAACATTTATGTGAGGAAAGCTGTTTAGAAAAATATTTTACTTGTTTGACTTTATAAAAATGATAATACTATGCTTTATGTAGTTTATTGTATATGCTCCAAGTACCTTACCCATGCATCCTCCTGTTTGGTTGTATATAAAATCCCATAGTGCTTTGAGTCACTTACGAACTATGAATGTCTTATATATGTGATAAAAGAAAAAGTAATCTATCTAGGAATTTGTCATCATATTTTTTCTGGGAACTTAAACACCTCCAGGTCTTTTGATTAACAACTTTTGCCAACATACAAGGATAACCTATAATTGATCTAGTATGTTTTTAAGTTACTTTCTTTGTACATGTTTTTGTTGTAGAAAATATAATCAGAGGTAAAATTTGATCTTGATAAAATTATAAATACAATATTTATTAACAAAATTTCCTTTAGCTTTAACTATTTACTCATTTCAAAAGAAGAAATTTAAAGGAATATGAAAAATATTTCTAGCTCAAATACACAATAAGTAAACCTGGTATTGTGGATTGCCCATTAAATACCATTCAGATAATTCTTCCATTATTTAGGGTCCCATTTAGCCCATTGGTTTCCTTGCTTTTGGAATTTTCTTTATTACCATATAACTGCAGGATGTCTAGATCATCATCTTTATCCCTATGTGTTAGGTACATTGTGTTTTGCATGGCTTACATTGTTTATGATCTATATCTTAAAGTAGTTTTCAATATAGTTAATGAAAAAAATATTAGAATAGTCTCAAATTTTAAGAACAATTAAATAGCCTATAGCTTTAGTTAAATAATGTACATACATAAGAACATTCATGTAAGTACAAATGAAGTCCCTAACTCTTGGAATTTTATATAAGTAGAATCAAACAGTCTATATTCTTTTTTTTTTGTCCTCTCTTTTTTTTCATTCAGCGTAACTATCTTGAAATTCATTCATGTTGTAATGTGCATCAATAGTTCATTCCTTTTTATTGCTAAAAGAATAACATTGAATGAATATACCACAACTTACCCATTCAGCTGTTGATAGGTTTTTGGATTGTTTCCTGTTTGGGGGCTACTACAAATGAAGCTGCTGGGTATATACATGTCCAAGTCTTTGTGTGGATATGTGCTTTCACTTCTCTAAGAAAAACACTTTGAAGTCTAACAAATAGATTGTACGGTATATGCATTCGTAAATTTTTAAGAAACTGCCACATTGCTTTCCAAAGTGATCATCCTGGTTTACATTCCCAGCAGCCATCTAATAGCTCCAGTTCCCCCACATCCTCCTCAACTCTTGGTCTTGTCAGTTTTTGACCATTCTAATATATATGCTAGAAATGTCTTATTGTGGTTTTAATTTGCCTTTCCTGATATTCTAGTGATGAGCATCTTTTCATGTACTAATTTGCCATTCATATATGTTCTTTGTTGAAGTGTCCATTCAAATCATTTGCCCATCATTTAAACTGGATTTTTGTTATAATTGAGTCTTGGTTGTTTACATATACTGAATGCTTTTCTCCTTCATATCGGATATAATACAAATATGCCTGCATTGCCACTTTGATATTGTACTGGAAGTTCTAGCTCTTAAAATAATACAGTGAAAAAAGTGAAAAGCATTAGTATGTTTTATATTAAAACATGTCTAGTATATTAGACATATATAAATACAGCAAGATATTTTTCATCTTTGCTACAATACTTCATTGAAATTAATACAAGCTACTATATCAATCTAAGACATTATAATATCCTATGGTAAAAAGTGCAGCACTTAAAATTGTTTTTTTTAAACATTTTTGTATTTATGGTAGCTTAACACTGATAAATTGTCTTTAATAACTAGGCTCTTCAGATACAACTTTGAAATTCCCAGTGCCAAACCAGTTATATCTAACTCTAAGCTCATGAAGATCGGACCAGAACAAAAGTTCAAAAAATGGGCTAATAATTTTCTTCCATTTTCAATTTAAGCCTTGGTAACAAACTTTTCCCATTCTCTACTCTTTTATCTCAATATATTGCTGTTAAAGTCTCAAGCACTCTTTTCTTTTATCATCAGTGAACAAATGTATATATTAGAATTTGAAAAGATAAATCAGTAAAAAAGCAAAAGTCCCTTGTAAAAAGAAAAAAAAAGTTCCACTACAAGATGAAATGCTGATGACTATATAGTTATGAAAAGCATAGGAGAAATTAAGTCCAGGTATGTAAACCTGGAAAATCTAATTTAATCCATTGCACCAACAGGCAAAACAAAAATCACATGATCATATCACTAAATGCAGAAATAACATTTGGAAAAATCCAACACCCACTTATGATAAAAAAACAACAACAACCAGTACACTAGGAATGGGGGGAAGTTCCTCAACTTTAATTAAAAATACATATATGTATTTTTACAGCTAACATGATACATAATTGTGAGAAAACTCAAACCTTTCCCACTAAGATCAGGAACAAGGCATTCCTATTCAACATTGTACTGGAAGTTTTAACTAATGCAATAAGACAAGAAAAGGAAGAAAAGTATACTGAGTTGTACCAATTTACATTCCCATCAACAGTACATGAGATTACCTATTTCTCCATATCCTTACCAACACATGTTATTTCTTGTCTTTTGGATAGTGGCCATTCTAACTGGTGTAAGGTGATATTCTCATTGTGATTTTGATTTGCATTTCTCTGATTAGTGATTTTGAGCATCATTTCATGTGCCTATTGGCCATCTGTATTTCTTCTTTGGAGAAATGTCTGTTCAGGTTCTCCACCCATTTTTAATCAGGTTATTTGTGTATTTTGGTACAACTGCTGTGGAAAGCAGTATGAAGATTCCTCAAAAAACTAAAAATAGATTTACCATTCAAGCCAGTAATTCCACTCCTAGGAATTTACCCAACGAAAACAAAATCCCTAATTCAAGAAAATATATGCACCCCTCTGTTTATTGCTACATTATTTATAATAGCCAAAATATGGAGGCATCCTATGTATCCATCAACACATGAATGGATAAAGAAGTAGTGGTAAATACACAATGGAATATTATTCAGTGATAAAAAAGGAAACCCTGCTATTTGAGTTCTTTATATATTTTGGCATGAGTTCATTATATATTTTAGATGTTAACCTCTTATTAGATAAATCATTTACAAATATATTCTTTCATAATGTAGGATGCCTTTTTGTTTTACTGATGGTGTCCTTTGCTATACAGATGCTTTTTACTTTCATGTAGTCCCACATGTTCATTTTTTGTTTCCCTTGTCCAAGGATATGTGTCCAGGAACAAATTGCTCATGGTTCTGTTCAAGAGATTTTTGCCTGTGTTTTCTTCCAAGAGTTTTATTGTTTTATGTCTTACATTCAGATCTTTGATCCATTTTGAGTTTACTTTTGGGTATGGAGTTAGACAGTAATTCAGTTTAATTCTACTGCATATTTCTCATTACTCCAGTTTTCTCAACACCAGTTATTGAAGAAGCTGTCTTTGACCCATTGTATATTTGTGGCTCCTTTATTATACATTAATTGGCCATGTACGTGTGGGTTTATATCTGTGCTGTGTATTCTGTTCCATTGATCTATGGATCTGTTCTTATGCCAATACCACACTGTTTGATTACTGTAGCTTGTAGTATAGCTTGAAGTCAGGGAGCATAATCCCCCCAGCTTTGTTCTTTCTTTAGGATTGCTTTGGCTATTTGAGGTCTTTGTGGTTCCATATGAATTTTAGGATCATTTGCTCTAGTTCATTGAAGACTGTTGCTGGTATTTTGATAAGGATAGCTTTGAATTTCTAAATTGTTTTGAGCAGGGTAGTCATTTTGACAGTATCAATTCTTGCTATACACAAGCACAGGGTAGATTTCCATTTATTGGTGTCTTCTTTGATTTCTCTCATGTATCTTACAGTTTTCAGAGTAAAGGTCTTTCACCTCCTTGGTTAGGTTTATTCCCAGGTGTATTATTATTTTTGATGCAGTTGCACATGGAATTGTTTTCCTGATATATCTTTCTGCTAGTTTGTTTTTCATATATATGAATGACTTCTGTATATTAACTTTGTATCCTGCAATTTTGCTAAATCTAGTTACTAGTTCTAACAGTTTTTGGGGGCCTTTAGAGTTTTCTGTGTGTAATATCATGTCATCTGAAAATAGTGACAGTTTAACTTCTCCCTTACCAATCTGGATGCCTTTTATCTCTTTGTCTTGTCTGATTACCATAGCTAGGACCTTCAGCACTATGTTGAATAAAAGTGGTGATAGTGTACATCCTTGTCTTGTTCCTGATCTTAGAGGAAAAGCTTTCAGCTTTTCACTGTTAAGTATGATGTTGGCTGTGTGTTTGTCATATATAGCCTTTATTATGTTGAGGTACTTGCCCTCTATACACATTTTGTTAAGAGTTTTTACCAGGAATGGGTGCTGAATTTTGTCAAATGCTTCTTCAGCATCTATTGAGATGATCATTGGGTTTTTGTCCTTTTTGTTGATATGGTATATGATGTTGATTGATTTAAAAATATTGCACCATCCTTGCATCCCTAGAATGAATCCTACTTAGTCATAATGGATGATCTTTTTGATGTATTTTTGAATTTTGTTTGCTAATATTTTGTTGAGGATTTTATATCTGTATTCATCAGGGATATTGGTCTATAATTTTCTTTTTTTGTGGTTTATTTATCTGGTTTTGGTATTAGAGTGATGCTTGCCTCATAGAATGAGTTTGAAAGTA